GTGCTTGGAGGACGGCGCGACGTTGTCCTCACTGGACACTCAGACGCTTCTTGGGCTGACGACCAGGCTACGCAGCGGTCGTCTCAGGGTTACACCTTCAGCCTTGGCTCTGGCTCTGTTTCTTGGCGTTCTACACGCTCTTCTTCTGTTCTCAGCTCCAGTTGTGAGGCTGAGATCTACGCCACAGCCATGGCGGCCCAGGAGCTACGCTGGCTCACCTACCTGCTGACCGACCTCGGAGAGCGGCCTCGTTCTCCTCCAGTGCTGTACGTCGACAACAAGGCAGCCATTGCCTTGTGTGAGGAGCACAGACTGGAGCACAGAACGAAGCACATCGCTCTGCGCTACTTCCTTGCTCGAGAGCTGCAGCAGCGTGGTCAGCTTCGTCTTACCTACGTGTCCACTCGGGCCAACACTGCTGATGTGTTCACCAAGGCGCTTCAGCCTTGTGACCATCAGCGTTTCTGTACTGTTCTAGGCCTTGTGCCTACTCTCCCTCACTTGCTCACTTCTTGACTCTGTTTGTACTGTGATCTCTATATATATACCTGCATGCTTACACTTGCTAGGTTGTGATCACTGTACCTCTTGTTCTATTATCAAACTGCATGTGAACTGGTCTTGTGACCACTTGCTTGTGCTCAGAATTTGTGTGGTATCCTTGAGATCCACCCTGAGCTTGTTTTGCTTTGCCTTGCTTTGACTGGTCTTGTGACCCCTTGTTCTCCCCCACTTAGCCTATGGGGGTGTGTCAAACATTGTATATGTTGTATTTCTGTAGGCTACAGTGGGTTAGCCTTTAGGGGGTACACAATTCTAGGGTTAGGTACTTGTACTCCCTTTCCTTTCTAGTTCACACACTTCTCTCATTCTGACACATGCCACGCAGGCCCGGCAGGGAGGGGTGACCAAGACAGTGGTGCAAGAGGAGAGACAGGTGCGTGAGAAGGCGACACGAACAAGACGCAACTAACTGATCCGACGCAACCACCTGACCTGACGCAGCCACCTGTGCAGACTCAGTGGTCTGCGTGTACAGGCTCGACCCTGGTCTTCGTGTGAACGTGGCGAGGTGCTCGCCAGTGTGTGAGTCCGTGCAGATCGCCACACGCTCACCTCCAGGAGTAGTGGTGGTGACCTGGAGGACAGCGCTACTCACCAAGTTCGTACTGAACGAGGGGAGGTGGAGACCTGCAAGCGAGCCAGAAGGGGCTGCCAGACACGGGAGAACTGTGGAGGAACGGGCACCGACTGGGCCCTCTGAGGGGTCAGCCAGAGCGACTGGGACAGGTGCTGTGAGCGGTGTGACTGTGGTGCAATCGCGGAACAAGCAGCGAGACGCGCCTGAGTCAAGTGTGAAGGTGTGCAAGGCCTCAGCAGAAGCAGTACCTGCGGCAGCAGACTCACAAGCACCTAGAGCAGCAGCCTCAACACCAGCAGCGCGCGGCACACACGAGTAACAGTCACCCTCAACACTAACAGAACCAGCATACATAGCGTATAAGCTAGCATTGTTCTTGTCAAAGTCAAGAGCAAACACACCCACCCCCTTCGCTAGCAATTTTTACCAATTGGGGATCTCAACCCCATCACCGTACCTGGTGCGCCAGGCATCCTCGAGACGGAAGAAGCAGCGATACTCTGTGTGCCCAATCTTCCCGCAGGGGTCACCAGCCCGGGGACCTGTGCGCCTGACGTACAGGCAACGACCACTATCCCCAAAAGAGCCACGCAGGACAACCCACTCACGAAGCTGCTGAGGCGTGAGTGTCTCCTGCTGGCGTGGCTGCTGCTGCTGTCCACCCCCAGAGCCTCCGCCGCCACGAGCTGCACCCCCAGTTACCGCCTCATAGCCTCCACCCCTACCAGCTCCACCCCGACTGCCACCCGAGCCCCCTCCGCCCACCCCACTGCCTCCACCACCCCCGCCACCTCCACCGCCGCCACCACCTCCTCCACCCCCGCCACCACCACCGCCACCAACCCCGCCACCACCCCCGCCAGCGCCACCCCCACCACCCTTACCCCCCTTGCCCTTGCCGCCGCGGCGCCTCCCACTATGAGCAGACGCAGCACTGACCTCCTCAGCACGAAGGATGTCAACAGCAGTAGCAGAGGCAACAGAGGGCACGAGAAGGGAGGGAGAACAGCCCTTAAAGAAGGGGGAGCGGGAAGTGCCACGAGAGGCAGCTACAGCAACAGTACTAGTGTCAGCCTCGGGGAGATGCTTCTCCAGCGAGGCAAGCGTGAGCTCAGTGGGGTCAAGGGCGAGGAAGTGATCCCTAACGGCGCGGAGAGAGTCAGGGAGGCGAGTGACGAGGAAGTAAAGAGTGATGTACATCGAGGGCGGGTTCGCAGTCAGAAAGGCCGGCTTGAGAGCGGCGCGGTAGCGAGTGTCACTAGAGCGAAGGTGGGTCATGAGATTAGCGACGATGTGGAAGTCCGACAGCTCAGGAAAGAGATACGGCAGCATGAGACGGCCTAGGGCAGTAGTAGAGGGGGAGGAGTAGCGAGTGACTACGGCGTCATAGAGCTCCTTGACCGTCTTAAGCTGGCCAAAATGGGCCCTCTCATCTAGCGGGAGGGCGTTGCAGACAGCAAGGTGGACGGCAGCATCGCGCGCGAGCCACTTCGAACGAACTAGACGGTCAACTGCCTCATTAGGGGCAGGAAGGGAACCGGGCGTATGCTCTAACAGCGGGATCTCGTCCCTAGCTATGCTCTGCAGGTATAGCTGGAGATCCTCGAGCCAGGTGTCAAACTTAATCGGGCGACCCTCCGCGTCAAAGGTAAGGACAGTAATGGTAGCCACAGTAGGCAGTAGCAGTAGCAGTAGTAGCAGGAGCAGCAGGAGCAGCAGCAGCAGCAGCAGCAGCAGCAGCAGCAGCAGCAACAGCAGTAGCAGCAGTAGCAGCAGCAGGAACATGTGCGTCAGCAAAGGCGGCTCGACTGGGCGGCTCAGCTGGGCGGTTCGGTAAGGCGGCACGGCTCGGCAGGGCGGCGCGGCTCGAGCATGGCAGGGCGGCCCGGCGTGGCCGGCAGCAGTAGCTTAGCAGCAGCTGCAGCGCGGGCAGGGCGCGCAGACGGCGCAGGGCAGTGCGCGGGCTGTGCGGGCAGAGCGTGGGCGGTGCACGGGCAGCAGGGGCAGCGCGCTTGCAGCGCGTGGGTGGCGCCAGCAGCGTGCAGGCAGCGCGCGGGCAGAGCAAGCAGCACGCAGGCAGGGCGCGGGCGGTGCAAGCAACGCGCAGGCAGCTCGCGGGCAGGGCAAGCAGCGCGCGGGCAGCAAAGGCAGCGCGTAGGCAGTGTAGGGAGCGCGCGGGCAGCGCAGGCAGCGTGCGCGCAGTGCGCGCGCAGGGCACAGGCAGCGCGCGTGTAGGCGGCGCGAGCAGGGCGTGAACGAGGCCGCAAGCGGGTCGCGCGCTGGGCAGTAAGCGGGTCGCGCGCAGGGCAGGGCAGAGCTCGCGAGGTAGCGCGGGCAAGGCAGCGTGCGGGACGCTGTGAGGGCAGGGTAGTTACGATCGGGCAGGGTAGGGGAGGAAAAATCGGGCAACATGAAACTAACGGTGGGCACTAACGGAGCGGTCCTACGCAGGGACCTGCTCTAAATACCATGTCAATAGTATGAGGCAGGAATGATGGACTAGAATGAATGAGGAGTACAAGTAGTGCTAACCCTAATGGGTTGTACTCAACAGAGTGTACCCCACTACAGCCTAAACAACATATAAGGCATTACATCAAATCTCTCTCTCGTTAGTTTACTTCTTCGCTAGACGCATGTCTTCCTGCCGCTCAGTTTCGTCTGCTGCTCCACCTAGTTTACGCTCAACTAGTCTCAGCCTTAGCTACCGCATTCCTTCCATTAGGTCTACGTGAGTCCATGCGGATGACAAGCTGTCGGTTTCCTTCCCCTACTTTTTGACACCTAACATTTCCTGATCACGCAGTGTTGGGTTTCTCGTTTTGTTTTCTTTCTGTTTTTGTTAATGCTATTGTTAATGCACACAATTGGACGTCGTCATTGTCCGCAGTCGCTTTCTTTTGTCTCTAGTATGTACCAATTCACTTTCTTTTTTTCTTTTAGTTAAGACGTGTGTTTCCCTGTAGTTTGTTTCGACGACCTTGTTGCCACCGAACCAGAGTGTTGTTCTGTTTGTTTTGTTTATATTCTTGTGTAGAACCGTCTTTGCAGCCTTTTCTCCCAACAGGATCAGTTTAGCGTGTAGTTACGAAGAGTTGATTAGATAGGACATGCATGCTTGTTACCGTGTAATATTGATTCTCGTTCTGTATTTTTTTTTTTGTAATTTGGATTTGATTGACCAACCAACCGTGGAGAACCATTTGATAAATATCGTTGCTGTATTATGCCCAGCAGGCTGACATTATGAAATGTTAAGCTATTATTAGCATATTGGAATGTAATGTGTATCTTCAACGTATTATGTTACCAAGCTGTGTAACAACACCTTATCCAATTGTATATTTGCATCTTATTTATGTTTTTTAGCCTGTACATATCTGTGTTCTGGTAACGTATCAGTTTAAAATAGTTCAGGGTCGAGTAACCCAGTGACGCGCGTTGAGTTGCAAATCGGCACTGCAATCCACCTGCAACTTCGCAAAGACTCTTTATCGAGTCCAGGAACAAATCCCAGCTGACCATTCCATTCGCACATGCAGTGTTACCGGTTCTCGTGTGCATTCGGGCATTTCGTCGATCACACGTTCATTCCCACCTGCAATAACTTAGCAGAATGTTGACGATCAGAAGGCCCCAATCCTCACATCGCATGATTCCCGTATGTTCGCTAGTAATTAGAACGTTGGTTTCTGGACACCAACCACAAAGTAACTAGGAATTAGCTTCGTGGTAGGTTTAGCTTCCAAGCATTTTTGGGATGTCCTGAAGGCACAGCACCTCGCCAAATCTTCGCCTCCTTGCCGTCTCGCCGCGTCGCACACGTCTCAAATTTTGAGACGAGTCGAGTCGGGGATCCATGGCTCCTCGCTCCCGTACTAGAAGGCGTGCTCCTTCCAAGCGGCACTACGTCGATCGCGTCGACTTAGACGGTGACGAATTCTCCGTCGGCGATTGCATCTACGTCAAGATCAACGGCGGCGATTCGTCCAACGGAGCCTCCGAGGTCGCCGCCGACGGCTCGGATTCAGACGAATCCGATGCGAGCGACGAGGAATGCCAGATTTGCGGGAAAGTTGTTGGTGCGGGAGAAGTGGAGGGGGAGGGGGAGGTGATGGTGGAGTGCGACGGGTGCCTTGGTGGTTTCCACCTCGGCTGCCTCGAGCCGCCCCTTGCGGACATTCCGGAAGGCGATTGGTTCTGCCCGGCTTGTGCTGGAGCTGGCGGGGAAAGGGGGAGCGGAACAAGGGGAAGCAAACGCGGGAAGGGGGGGAAAGCGGGGACGGCGGGGACGGGGGGGGCGGCGGGGAAGGGGGGGATGGCGGGGAAGGGGGGGAAGGCGGGGGAGGGGGGGAAGGCGGGGGAGGGGGGAAAGAAGCAGAATCGACGGCGAACAGCGCGGGAGCGAGTGTTCGATGGGGAGCTTGCGATTGGTCGAATCGAAAGGATGTGGCGTGTGGACGAATCAAAAGAGCGCGATAGCCGGATGGATGAGAAGGAGGAGGGAGAGGGGGGGGAGAAAGCGGACGAGGAGGGGGAAGGGAAAGGGGAAGGGGAGGGAGAGGCGGAGGCGGAGGGGGATGAGAGTGGGTGGTGGTGCAGGGTGAGGTGGTATGTGTTGCCAGAGGAGACGGTGGAGGGCAGGCAGGCGCGGCACAGGAAGAGGGAGGTGTTCTATGGGGATGTGACGCAGGAGATCGAGGTGAGCGCGGTGGGGAGAGGTGAGAGGGGCGGAACGCGGTGAGGAGGGATGCAAAGCGGTACAAGTTGTTTTGTGTAGAGGAGAGCAGCGTAGAGAAAGGGAGCTGTTTCACGAAGGAGATGGAGGGGATTGAGATGGGTGGAGCGAGGTGAGTGCGATCCTCTGTCGGATCCCCCACCACTGTTTGCTTGCCTTCCAATCCTGCTCTCCCCCTCTTCCCGTGACCCATATCCTACGCTTAGTCACTTGTGAATCACTAAGTGACCCATGGCCTATGCCTACCCACCCACTGTCACTTTCTTCTCCCCCCGTCCCTCTGCGCTCCCGCGTGGCGAGATCAGATGGCCACAATACTGCGCGCCTGCCAGGTGCTCATCCTCCCCCCACCCCCCCTCCCTCCCAACCCAGATGGCCACAATACTGCGCGCCTGCCAGGTGCTCCCAGAGCCGCTCTTTGCAGCAGCGGCCCACGCGGGGGACGACGTGTTTCTCTGCCGCATGGCCTATGACTCTCGCTCCCTCACCTTCAAACGCCTGCCCGCGGGCATGCGCGGACCGGGGGGAACGGGGGCCATGGGGGGATTGGGGGGGACGAGGGGGATGGCAGGGGGAGGTGGGGGCGGAACGGGCGTGCAGAGGCGTGGAGGTGATGGGGGAGAGAAGAGGAGGAGAGGGGAGAGGGATGAGGGGACTCGCAAGGGTTTGCGTGGGAGTGGGGAGGATGGGGAAGGGAGTGGCGGGAGCGATGGTAGTGATTCTGGTGAGAGTGACAGTAGCGAAGGGTTGACTGATTCCAGTGATGATGGTGATAGTGACGATGGTGATAGTGATCTTAGCCTGGATGACGAGGAGGAGGAAGAGGGGGAGGAGGAAGAGGACGAGGAGGAAGAGGATTGGGGAGTGGAGGGAGGGAGGAAGTTCAGAAAGAGAATGAGGAAGGCCAGCAGACATAAGGTGAGAGTAGACATGAGCAAAAATCCGAAACCCTGTTCGGTTCGACTCGAAAGTGTTCGACTGTTTTATTTGTCCAAAATTGTTCGTGACGAACACCAAGGTGTTTGTCACGAACACGTTCGACTGTTCGAGTGTTCGTGTGCAGAAAAATGCATGAACACCAAGGTGTTCGAGAACACAATGTGTTCGTTGCGAACACCTAGGCGTTCGAGGGAAAATTCAGCGTGTCAAAGTATGATGCGCTGTTGGATCTAAAAGGGGAGGGCGACGATTGAGCTCAAGAATGAGCTCAATCGTCGATATAGCCTAAGGATGACATTCCGCCCCCTACCCACTAAAACTACCACATTCCCACGGTCAAAATTCCACATTGTGGCTGGAAACGTTAGGTATAAGGTTGGATTAGGGTAGGAGACGGTTTAAAAAAGGAACTAAGGGCATTTCGGTTTAGGTTGGAGGAGTTTAGCAAGGCGAAATTGGATATCCACCAGATCTGCGCCAAGCCTAACTATATCTCTTGTAGGGCTATAGGGAACGTGATATTGCTTCTACTACACTCGCCCTGCCTTAATGTGACTATACTGAAAGAACCCCCCAAAGCAAACTGTTAGAGTTTGGGTCAAACACCTTAGTGTTCGGCCTTGCCTCAAAACTAGGCTTGAGCAAGGTGGCGAACACCTGTTCGGTTCGCCTCGAATTGTTTTTCGACTTAAATCGTTCGCCCGAACGTGTTCAAGTTCGCCCGAACACGTTCGTGTTCGTGGCGCTGCTGCAGAACGCCCCGTGTCGAACACGAACGTGTTCGAGGTTCGCCCGAACACGCCTCCACAGGCGAACAGCGAACACCTGTTTTTGCCTAAACTGTTCGCCGAACCGAACAGTGTTCGGTTCGGCAAAAGGGCGTGTTCGAGAAGGGGCGAACACGAACATGTTCGTGTTCGCCCTTTGCTCATCCCTACTCAAAACTGTTCGACCCTATACTCGAACGGGGAAAGATTGGAAAACTGTTCGAGTCAAACGTGTTCGGTTCGCTCGTTGCTCATGTCTAGGTGAGAGATTGCGGTTCTGAGAGATTAGAAGAAAGCCGTTCAGCTTGAGTCGACTCACTCATGTGCCTCCAAGCTAGGCGCACAGCCTGTATTCACCCCTCGGCCACGTGCCAGTCCCTGTGTTACTCATCTCGTTCCCCTTTGCCTTTCTCTCAGCTCTTTCATCTACTCCTCTCACCCGACCCAACCGATGCTCCCAACCGATGCTCTGAGCTCATCTGACTCCCTGCTGCCTTCTTCCACGCACTCCTGCTGCTGGCCTTGCCCCTGAGAGATTCTAGAGGCGCCTCAAAACTCCTAGTGCTGTGCTTGCTTGAGGGACTTTTGGGCTGTTTTTCTTTCGCACTCATCTTGAGCCAACTAACGTTGAACCCTCTTTGCGTGCACCTGCTTGTGTGGACCTGCTTGTGTGGACCTGCTTGTGTGGACCTGCTTGTGTGGACCTGCTTGTGTGGACCTGGGTGGGTGGGATGGCGACTCACAACACTCGCAGGCTGCGAAGCACAAGAAGCGGCAACGGCTGGGCCAGGAGAATGGCCTTAGCTCTTCCCAAGGGGACGGGGACCATGGGCTGTTCTCCGTCTTCCATAATGAGCAGAGGAGCGCCGGAGGGAATTCTGCTAAGCTGGTGGGAGAGAGAGAGGATGAGAGAGATGACACGTGGGACGAGGGGGATGGGGAGAGCGACGGGGAGGGGGATGAGGAGGACGAGGAGGAGGACGGGGAGAGGGAGGAGTCAGAGAGGCGTGTGAGGAAGGATGGTGAGCAGAGGGAGAGGAAGGGAGGCGGGTTGGCGGCGGTGCGGAGGGCGAAGAGGGCGCTGCAGCTGTCCCGTGTGCCGCCGTGCCTGCCGTGCCGAGAGAGGGAGCAGCAGGAGGTGCAGGGGTTTGTGGCGAGAGTGGTTGGGGGCGGTGGATCCGAGGGAGGTATATCTGAGGGCGGTAATCTTGGGGGATGCGCTTCTGGGAGAGATGGCGGGGCACGAGCAGGAGGCGGAGTGGCGGGCACAGAGCAAGAGAAGGGAAACGAGGAGGTCATGGGCGTGGGAGGGAGGGGAGGCGGGAGAGGGAAGGAGAGGGGGAGAGGGAGAGGGAGAGGGAGAGTGAGTGGAAGGAAGAAGAAACAGGAGGAGAAGAGGGATGAGCAAGAGGCAGAGGGAGAGAAGCCGCAGGAAGGGCAGCAGGAGGGGCGCGAGGAAGGGGAGCAGCAGGTGAAGTCACGGTGTTTGTACATCAGTGGGGTACCAGGCACGGGCAAGACAGCAGTGGTGGTGGAGGTGATGAGGCAGGCGAGGAGGAGCAGCAGCGAGGGGCTGCTGCCGCCCTTCCAGTTCGTCCACATCAACGCCCTGCGCCTGCCCGCCCCCACTGCCTTCTTCTCCGTAAGCCCCCTTCCCTGTTAGCTTCTTCCCTGCCACCCCCTTCCCTGCCACCCCCTTCCCTGCCACCCCCTTCCCTGCCACCCCCTTCCCTGCACCTGTCCCCTTCCTCACTGCCTTCTTCTCTGTAAGGGTTCTTACACCCCCTTCCCTACCAACCAACCCTCTCCCCGCTCTGCCTCCTCTCTCTGCCTCCTCCCTCCGCCACCAACGGCCTCACGGCCTTCCTGCCCATCACATCACCCGCCATCACATCGCCCGCCATCACATCACCCGCCATCACTTCAGGTTCTCTGGGAGGCGCTGACCGGCCAGAGGGTCGCGTGGAAGAAAGCTCTTCACTCGCTCAACCTCCGATTCGCCTCCCCTCGCCCCTCCTCTGCCCCTGGCGGGGTGAACAGAGGGAGGGGCAGGGGTGGAGGAGGTGGGAGAGGAAGGGGGGGTGGGCGGAGGGAGGAGGGGCAGGGGAGAGGAGGAGGGGGAGGGGGAGGGGGAGGGGGAGGGGGAGGGGGAGGGGGAGGGGGAGGGGGAGGGGGAGGGGGAGGGGGAGGGGGGAGGGGGAGGGGGAGTGTGTGTGCTGCTGGTGGATGAGATGGATCAGCTGATCAGCAAGGACCAGAAGGTAGGGAGGAGGATTGTGGAGCGGTTGGGAAGGATTGGTAAGGGTGGACGAGGGTTGTGGGGGGCTGGGAGGGGCTGAAAAGGTTTGTTTGGATTGGACATTATGAGTGAGGCATGGGGACATGTGAGCCAGGTGTGGACGGTGGATGTGTTGTGGTGCTGGTGGATGGGGTGGATGGGGTGGATGAGGTGGATGGGGTGGATGGGGTGGATGGGGTGGATGGGGTGGATGGGGTGGATGGGGTGGATGGGGTGGATGGGGTGGATGGGGTGGATGGGGTAGATCATCAGCAAGGAGCAGAAGGTGGGAGGATGAGGGGAATGAGGTAACTCAACTCAGCATCAACAAGGATCCGATGGCGGGAAGAGATTGTGGAGCGATTGTGGGTTGTAGATGGAAATTTGGAGAGGGGTGTTTCTGTGAGGAGCACGGGAGAGGAGGAGGGGCGGGAGTGTGTGTGTGAGTGCTGCTGGTGGGTGAGAAGGATCAGCTGATCAGGAGGAACCAGTGGTTCGGAAGCGATCATGGAGCAGTTGGGAAGGGTTTTATTAGGTTGTGCAGCGTGCCTTTTGAGGTGCCAGTAGCAGGCGAGTGACTTCCTCCGCTCGCTATGTGTGTGCAGCCTTTTTTTTTTTTTTTTTTTTCCATGCATGTGCACCCCTGTGCATCCCTCTGCACCACTTTGCGCCTCCCCAGGTGCTCTACAACATCTTCGAGTGGACCACCTGGAGCTCTGCACGCCTTGCCGTTATTGGTCAGTCTTTCCACTTTTGCTCAATCTTGCCGTTACTGGTAAGTGTTGCTGTTAATGGTAAGTGTTGCGGTTATCAATAAGCGTTTCCATGTTTGCTCAATGTATTCTTATTCTACTTCAAAAGGTTTGCCATCACCGTTATTTTACTATTGCTGCCATTCATGGCAAGTGTTGCCGTTAGTCCACCCCCATTTCTCCCTGTGTAACTTCTTAGGCAGCGCCCGCACAGTGGACTTGCTTGAGTGCCGGCACACGTGTCCACTATCGATTGACAACGCCGGCTCCCTCGTACATGAAGCTTCATTGGGGGCCCGTGGCATCCTGCATCTCCCCCACTCCCTCTTGCCCCCATCCCTCTCCTCTCTTCCCCCAGGGATCACCCCACCGCCTGCTCCCCCTTCCTTTCCTCCTCCTGTCCTTTGCACCCTACAGGCTACACCTCCCCCTCCACATCTCCCCCCCGTTTCTGGAGCTCACTCTCACCACCCAGGCATGGCCATCACAGTGGGGCTTCCTGACTGACTACTTCCAGCCATGGCCAGCAGGGAGGGGCTGCACCGCTTGCACTCTCTATTACCACCCCTCCCACTTTCTCTTTTCCCCCCTCACTCCCCACACTCTCTCCTCTCTCACCCCTCACTCTCGCCGCTCGCTTCCTTCACTCTCCCCTCACCCCCTCTCTCACCTCTCTCTCTCTCCCGCCTCCCAGGCATCGCCAACACGGTGGATCTGCTTGTGCCCTGTGCACCCTACATCTCCTTCTCCCCACCCCACATCATCCTCCCCCCCCCCCCCACACCGCTTCCTCCCAGGCATCGCCAACACGGTGGATCTGCTTGTGCCCTGTGCACCCTACATCTCCTTCTCCCCACCCCACATCATCCTCCCCCCCCCCCCACACCGCTTCCTCCCAGGCATCGCCAACACGGTGGATCTGCTTGTGCCCTGTGCACCCTACATCTCCTTCTCCCCACCCCACATCATCCTCCCCCCCCCCCCCACACCGCTTCCTCCCAGGCATCGCCAACACGGTGGATCTGCTTGTGCCCTGTGCACCCTACATCTCCTTCTCCCCACCCCACATCATCCTCCCCCCCCCCCCCACACCGCTTCCTCCCAGGCATCGCCAACACGGTGGATCTGCTTGTGCCCTGTGCACCCTACATCTCCTTCTCCCCACCCCACATCATCCTCCCCCCCCCCCCCACACCGCTTCCTCCCAGGCATCGCCAACACGGTGGATCTGCTTGTGCCCTGTGCACCCTACATCTCCTTCTCCCCACCCCACATCATCCTCCCCCCCCCCCCCACACCGCTTCCTCCCAGGCATCGCCAACACGGTGGACCTACCGGAGCGCCTGCTGCCGCGCATCGCCAGCCGCATGGGGCTGCACCGCGTGCCCTTTGCGCCGTACACGCGCCACCAGATCGAGACGATTGTCGCCGCCCGCCTGCACGCGTGCCAGCTGTTTGCACCGCGGGCCATCGAGCTGGCTGCGAGGAAGGTGAGGTGAGGCTCGTGGGTTTCTCATTCTGCCTTGCTTGTCTCCTCCCTCGCGCTCTCCTTCCCTTCCGCCATCCAGGTGGCGTCGGTATCTGTTAGCCTGACGGTTAGCATTTAGCCTGACACTTAGCAGTTAACCTGTCAGTTAGCAGTTAGCCTGACAGTTAGCAGTTAACCTGTCAGTTAGCAGTTAGCCTGACAATTAGCAGTTAGCCTGACGGGGAATTAGCCTGACAGTTAGCAATTAGGTTGACAGTTATTTGGCCTGACACTTAGCACTTAGCCTGACAGACACTTAGCACTTAGCCTGACTGCCCTGCTGTCCTCTCTCCGTCCCAATTGTGCATGCAGGGGATGTGAGACGGCCGCTGGATGCTCAAGGTTACTTGACTGCTCAACATGAGAATTCTCAAAAAACACTTGTCTCCTGTTTCGTACCACATTTCCCCGCTCCTCCCTTGTCGAGGAGGGAGGAGGGAGGAGGGAGGAGGGAGGAGGGAGGAGGGAGGAGGGAGGAGGGAGGAGGGAGGAGACGGGAAACTGTCGGAGAAACTTGTCGCAGGGAGGACAGAGAAGGAGACTAGTGGGACGGGACAGTCCAACCCGTCAGACGCAATGCTTCCACACGGTTCAACATGTGTTTTGAGGCGCCTCAACAGGCGGTTCAGCGTTTCTTTAATTCTCACCGCACCTGCCTCCCTTTCTCTCCCGTTCACCCGACTCTCCCCACCCCCTCCCTCCCTCCCGTCCTGTCTGCAGGTGGCCTCGGTATCCGGGGATGTGCGGCGGGCGCTTGAGATCTGCCGGAGGGCCGTGGAGATTGCCGATGCACAAGCCGGGCTGGCAGGGACTGGCCATGCAGCCGAGGCGGGTTGTGCTGACGTGGTAGGTGAAGCTGACGTGGCAGGTGAAGCAGAGGTGGGAGTTGGTTCAGGAGATGGTTTGGGAGGTGGTACGGGAGCAGGGTCGGGAGCTGGGTTCGGGGCGATGGCGGGAGCAGGTCTGAGACTGGGTCCCGACGCAAGCCTGGTTAAGGAGAGTGCGGTGCGGTGTGGAGGAGGAGGAGTGGAGAGCGGTTTGTCTGTTTTGTTTCAGAAGGGGGGGAGCGGGGAAGTGGCGGGGGAGGAGAAGGATGCAGGAGAGGGAGTCAAAGGGAAAGGGGAAGAGGAACGGAGAGAGAAAGAACAGGAGAAAGACAAAGACAAAGAGGAGAATGAGGTGGGGGAGAGGAAGGTTGGAAGAGGGGGTTTGAGCAGGAATGAAAGGAAAAGGAAGACGCATGGAGGAGGTGGGGAGAGAGGGAAGGAGGGCGCTAATAGTGGTGGTGGTGGTGCTGATGGTGGTGGTGGTAGTGGTGGTGGGGTTGTGAACGGTGGTCATTCAGGTACAGCCACCCCCTCACGCCATTTGAGGCCGAGAAAAGGGGTGCGAAGGGGAGAAGAGAGTGCGAGAGGAGCGAAGGGTGAGGTGACAAGGGAAATAGAAGAGGGAAAGAGGGGACGGGCTGAGGGGATGGAGGAGAGAAAGGAGGGGAAGGGGGAGGTGAAGGAAGTGGTAGATGCACAAGCAGGTGAAAGAGAGGGTGTGGAAAAGGGGAAGGGAGGAGAAGTGGAGGAGAGACATTGGCAGGCATCGGCTGTGGCGTGGCAAGTTAGGAAAGCACAGCAAAGCCCGTTGGTGGTGCAGATCGAGCACGTGGAGGCGGCCATTCGAGAGATCTTCTCCTCGCCCCACATCATGGTGCGTGTGTGTGGGAGTGAGTGAGTGTGCATGTGTGTGTGTGTGTGTGTGGGAGTGAGTGAGTGTGTGTGTGTGTGTGTGTGTGTGTGGGAGTGAGTGTGTGTGCATGTGTGTGTGTGCATGTGTGTGTGTGTGTGTGTGTGTGTGTGTGTGTGTGTGTGTGTGGGAGTGAGTGTGTGTGCATGTGTGTGTGCGCATGTGTGTGTGTGTGTGTGTGTGTGTGGGAGTGAGTGTGTGTGCATGTGTGTGTGTGCATGTGTGTGTGTGTGTGTGTGTGTGTGTGTGGGAGTGAGTGAGTGTGCATGTGTGTGTGTGTGTGTGGGAGTGAGTGAGTGTGCATGTGTGTGTGTGTGTGTGTGTGTGTGTGGGAGTGAGTGTGTGTGCATGTGTGTGTGTGCATGTGTGTGTGTGTGTGTGGGAGTGAGTGTGTGTGCATGTGTGTGTGTGCATGTGTGTGTGTGTGTGTGTGTGGGAGTGAGTGTGTGTGCATGTGTGTGTGTGCATGTGTGTGTGTGTGTGTGTGTGTGTGGGAGTGAGTGTGTGTGCATGTGTGTGTGTGCATGTGTGTGTGTGTGTGTGTGTGTGTGTGGGAGTGAGTGTGTGTGCATGTGTGTGTGTGCATGTGTGTGTGTGTGTGTGTGTGTGTGTGGGAGTGAGTGTGTGTGCATGTGTGTGTGTGCATGTGTGTGTGTGTGTGTGTGTGTGTGTGCGCGCGTGCGTGCGTGCATGCGTGTGTGCGCCCGCGCGTGTGTGCGTGTTTGTCTAAGTGTGTATGTGTGTGTATACCTGTGAGCGTGTGCTGTGTGCATGCGCATGGGTTCGTGTGTGCACTGTGCGTGTATGTGTGTGTATGCGCACATGTGCACTTGCATCCATGTGTGTGCATGCATGTGTGGCCATGTCCATTTTACACCCTTATTTTTCCTCCATTTTATCACCTACATCTTTCCTCTACTCGGCTCTTCACGTTAAAACAAATCATTTTAAGAAAAATGCGGAAGCAGCAAAAGGAAAAACCCCTGGGCCCTCGCGTTCATCTGACTCCTCTTGTATGTACTTTATGAACTCTTGTCATCTTTTTTCTCTACTGACTTACTGCAACAAATCAATATCTTTCCATACTCTCCTCCTGACCTGCATGCATCAACACCCCCCTGCCCCTCTCTCTGTTCCTCCTCACCTCGCCCAGATCATTCGCCGCCTGTCCGCCGTTGAAAAGATTTTCCTCGCTGCTCTCTCCTGTGACCTCCATCGATCCGGCGCTTCTGAATCCACCTTTTCCCGGGTAGGTAGGTAGGCGCGATCAGTGCTTGCTGAGGTGCCACGCTAACCCACCTGCTCGCCAAGGTAACCCACCTGTTCGCCAAGGTAACCCACCTGTTCGCCAAGGTAACCCACCTGTTCGCCAAGGTAACCCACCTGTTCGCCAAGGTAACCCACCTGTTCGCCAAGGTAACCCACCTGTTCGCCAAGGTAACCCAACCCGCCTCTTGCTTTATCACCTCTTTAGATCTATCACCCCTCTACCCCCCTCTTGTTAGCACCCCTCCATATGCACCATCTAAGCCACTCTTAGCTTCAAGCATCCCCTTCCTCAATTTTCCAGTATGAAGAGGGATACTCACTTGCCCTCACTGACGCACCTCACTTGCCCTCACTGACGAAACTCACTTGGAAGCTTCCTTCAACTGGGAACAATACTTTTAATACCTGATTTAAGTTTTACTGCAAATTGAACTCATTCGTCTAGTGTGGCACACCTCCTTACCGCCTTACGTCCCATCCATTCCCTCTGCGTGCCTCGCACCATGCAGGTGCACCACTTATGCCATGCCTGGTTGCAACACCACAACTCCACCGTCCCTGCCACACCGTCACCTGCTGCACTCTCCTCTTTGGTTGCTGCCACGTCAGAAGCTCCTCCCGACCAGTCAGAGGGCCCCGGTGGCAGCGGGGAGAGGCAACTGGTGCAGCAGTCTGGGCGGAAGGAGGAAGCTTCCTGGGAGCTTCCAGTGCGGCTGAATGTGTCTCACGATGCCCTGCTAGCTGCGTGGTGAGTTGGGTGCGTGGTGAGTTGGGTGCGCGGTGAGTTGGGTGTAGGCTTGAGCAGGAGGGCGAACACTTGTTCGGTTCGCCTCGAACATGTTCACGGCGAACCGAACACTTACATGTTTTTGGCCTAAAGTGTTCGCGGTAAAAATGTTCGCGTTCGGTTCGCCGCGGCTGCCCGAGCCGCGACGAACACAAACACGTTCGTGTGCGTCTGAGGGTGTCAACGAACACCAACATTTGTAGGTCGCGGGACATTCAGTATGAGCTCAAACCTTGACGATCCTCCCACCCACAGCTCATACTCCCTCCAGCAACACTAAGAACCAACCTAAACTACACAAATAGGGTAGCGTAGTTAGTAGGGAGAATAGATAGGATTTTGACTAAGGTTTTACAGTGCCATTTGGGGTTTAGGCCAACGGGAATCCACCAACCCATGCTGAAATCGTAGGCGAATTTTACATTAAGGCCGAATTATGGCTGTACACTGGTTAATGTGACTATATCGAGGGCTGTGACAGGCAAGCACGAACATGTTGGTGCTCGTGGCGAACATGAGGGTGTTGCCCATAGAGGCGAACAGCGAACACCCTTTTCCCTGAAAGTGTTCGCGGCGAACCGAACAGTGTTCAGTTCGCCCAGGTGACATGTTCGCCCCCTGCTCATGCCTAGTTGGGTGCGAGCTGGCTGGGGCGCATGTTCTGAATGTGTGTGTGTCCCCCCTTCCTCCCTCCCTCCCTCCCTCCCTCCCTCCCTCCCTCCCTCCCTCCCTCCCTCCCTCCCTCCCTCCCTCCCTCCCTCCCTCCCTCCCTCCCTCCCCCCTTCCCTCGCCCTCTCGCTCTCCCTCTCCCTCTCCCTCTCCCTCTCCCTCTCCCTCTCCCTCTCCCTCTCCCTCTCCCTCTCCCTCTCCCTCTTTCTCATCTCCCCCTCGATCACGATCCATTTTCTACACTCTCCATCTCCCTCTCCCTCTCCCTCTCCCTCTCCCTCTCCTTCTCCTTCTCCTTCTCCCCCTCCCCCTTTCCCTCTCCGTCTCCCTCTCCCTCTCCCCCTCCCTCTCGAACAGTCCTTTGCATTAGTTCCCAAAACGTACAGACATGCAGGCGTTTAACAAGAACATTCTAAACCATCATGACAGCTACACACTACCCCATTCCAAGGGAGCTCGACTGTGGGCTCACTGTGTGGCAAGGCAGTCCTCAGGGGACATGTCTTCGCCTTTGCCGCCCACTGGTGGGTTCTCCACCTGAGCCGCCAGGTTGCATTTTGTCATATAGCCCACCGCTTGCCCTCGTTGCAGCGCCACCGACCAGCGCTGGCGGGATTGGTGAAGGAGCTTCGCCGCTTGGTAGGTTGTCGGATCGGCGTTGAGGCATTTGCGGGCGGCGGCGGTGTTGGCGAGAAGCTTAAGGAAGTCGATGACCTCCGTGCACAAGCAGCCGTATGCCTCGTCAGCTAGCGGGTAAAACCCAACCCAACGTGCGGCGCCGTGGAGTCACGGTAGTCACACACCTTCTTGTCACGGTAGTCACACACCTTCTTGTCACGGTAGTCACACACCTTCTTGTCACGGTAGTCACACACCTTCTTGTCTGCCGCCTCGCATGCAGCCCAGCCTCTTCCTTTGAACGCCCTGGGGTCTCGAGTGCTGATCGGGTCGGTAACGGTTACAGCGCATACCCACACCGCCCCCGAGGACCGGTCTCGTATGTGAAGTCCGCCTTTTTGTTATCAAGTCCCCTGGCAGAAAACCGTCGTTTCCTTGTGCACCTTAAAGCCGGCGTATTGCAATCCTGATACGATCGTTCGTGAGTTCGTTGTGAGTATTGGTCCTTCGCCCTCCAATGGCGCAGCGAAGAAGGTGGTTGGGTAGCCGCTTGTCCGTGAGTTTCACCTGTTTGTGGCAATCGCATGCGCCTGGGGCCGAGAAAGGAAGGGCGAGTCTGAAGTGAAGGGCGTTAGCGAAGTTTGCGGCCCCGAATCGTAGGGATGGCATGAAGGGTACGGCATTCAGCCAGCCCCGTGCCCCATAGCCTCACACAGACAGCACACGCTGAGTGTAGCCATTGTGGGTTGGGCCTCGTGGCACACCTGCTCGCCGTACCGCCGCCCATGAACCGCAATTGCCAGCCCGTGCTGCAGTGTTTGGCCTGTATGTGCAGCCCTGTCGCTTTGCAGCCCTGTCGCCTTGGCGTTGTCTGGCAGCGCCTCTTCACACGTGGCCAGCCAATCCAACAACGGTGCCGTGTGGGAGTAGGGCCGCGTCATGTGCATCCATGTCTTCGCTAACGGCCCGATGAGAGCGTCGACAAGACAGGTGAGCATCTGTGCTTTCGTGAAACTCGCTACGAAACCGAACCTCCCTTCCACCGCGAGGTCAGCGAGACCTAGGCCCTCAAGTGAGACGGGGAGCGAAGCGTGGGTGCAGGTTCGTGAGGTCTGACGTGGCTTCTTCTCGTGGACGCCGTATATTGCATGGCGTCAGCCACGTCTCAAACAGCCACATGCCCCGTCCGGACCACTCAGCTTCTGGCAGGTGAGTTAGGGGTGTTGTTTGGGCGAGGTAGGAGACGTGTCGCGAGATGCACCGGGACAGCAGGAGTGATGCTCGCTGCGGTTCCATTCGTGAGATAAGCCTGAGCGGCGTACCCATTGAGTCTAGGCCGTTTTGCAGGAAATCAACTCTTGCTTCGTCCTGGCCAATGAAACTGCTTAGACCCTTTTATGCCACTGTATGTGGAAGGAACGCCCTAAGGTAGTAAAGGGCCTGTGGGCCTGCTTGTGACCAGGCAGCACACCCTGACGGGTTGTGCCGTAATCCTATCGTGCCGTGCTGAGGCTCCCCGGGAAGTGATCGAACGCCGCCGCGCAAGCCGTAGGATCTCCAAGTAAGGAAGGTAACATCGTCGGCAGGTGCCAGGCATACCGACAGGAAGGCAGATGCTGTTGCATTTAGTGCGGGGTTAATGGCGGCGACAAACAGGAGGGGTCCGAAGGGATCTCCCTGCCCCAGTCTCGCAGTGCAATGGTGGGTGGTTGAAACGCGCGTCCAGGTAGAGCAGGGATGGCTCGCCATAGGACAATCGTACCAGCGGCAGCAGTGGGGCAAGCAGCGAGTGGCTTCAACCATGGCAGCTCTGGTAACGCTGCGGAAGGCGCTAGCAAGGTCGGCTTGGAGGACAAGTATGCTGGGGTTCACGGCAAGGCATGCTTGAGTTGAGTGGATTATCGCCTCAGCACCCCCTGGAACTGCCACTCCCAACTGCTGCCCCTGCTGTCTCTGTGAGTGCCGTTGTTTGCAGCTAGGCGCGTGATGCTTTCGCTGATGGCAATCGGCCTCGTCCCTCCCTCTGGCTTGGTATGGGCTATCAGGCGTGAGGCGGTGCGTAAGCTTGCTACTTTGGGCGGTAACGTTTGAGTCAGTATGATGTTGACCAGCGCGTGTAGATGACCAGGGCATCCCACCGCATCGTTAACCACGGCCGCGTCGCGCAGGGGACAACACCTTCAGAAGCGCGGGGAGCGGCACTGACAATTGAGCATTCGGTACTGACGCTGGCCAGTCCGGTAACATGTGAGGGGCGGGTGGGTGCTTGGCGCGCAGGGATGGGTGCTTGGCGCGCAGGGATGGGTGCTTGGCGCGTAGGGTTGGGTGCTTGGCGCGTAGGGATGGGTGCTTGGCGCGTAGGGATGGGTGCAGACTGGCGTGGCCTGGAGACCCATGGCGGCCCGCCGTAGACTACGATGCGCCGGACCCTCGGCTCTGGCAAGCAGGCCACGATGCCGTCAGGTTGGTGTCCAACAGTGGCGGCTGGGGGTTGGGGGTTGGGCCTTGGGGGTTGGGGGTTGGGGGTTGGACAGTGAGTCCACTGTGTCCTCGTAAACTGTGCCCCACTCCCCTTGAGCAAATGTCGCTCACGTGTACGGACCGCCAGCCAATCTGGTTGCCTTGGAGAGGGTTGACGCAGCGTCAGACGTGCGACCAATAGCACATCTCCCTCTCCCTCTCCCTCTCCCTCTCCCTCTCCCTTTCCCTCTCCCTCTCCCTCTCCTTCTCCCTCTCCCTCTCCCTCTCCCTCTCCCTCTCCCTCTCCCTTTCCCTCTCCCTCTCCCTCTCCTTCTCCCTCTCCCTCTCCCTCTCCCTCTCCCTCTCCCTCTCCCTCTCCCTCTCCCTCTCCCTCTCCCTCTCCCTCTCCTCCCTCTTCCTCTCCCTCTCCCGCTCCCTCTCCCCCTCCCTCTCCCTCTCCCTCTCCCTCGCTCTCTCCCTCTCCCTCACCCTCCACTTTGAGGGTTTAGGGGCAACTCAAAGATCATCTCAAATCCCCACTCTCTCTCGCCTCCCTCCTTCCTCTCCAGTGCACGCCTGGCAGAGTCGCACCTTTTGCTAGCAGAGGGCTCTGCCCAGCACTGCATTCAGCGCATTCAGCTCAACTTACCCAGGTATTTCTCCCATTCTGCCCACGTTTTGCCATTTCCCCTTTTAAGCATGCCCAAGAAATCACTTCCTTTGTTAATAGCTGCACTTGCATTTTGTTACTTACCATACTTTTTTCTTTTTTGTCGTCTAGGGAGGACGTGCTCCATGCATTGAGCGCCGACCAGGAATTGCCTTGGTTGTCAAGGCATCTTGGATGATTGGAAGTCTGGTACGGCAGGCTCACAAACCACAATTGCAATTTATAGTTAAAGTTGTGCACATCCACACCCTCCATTATTGTGAATCATTAGCTACAGTATCGTCATCTCCCAGATAGTACCGTATAATCCGGGATAGTATCGCAGGTGCGCATGATTTTTAGGGGGGGTGCGCTTATAATTGACTGGAATTTATAAGCACATGCGCTTGTATATGGATAAAAATGAAATCAACTTTTAAACATACCGAATTGAACCCACAATATAGCGAACACACATCCCTATCACTTTCACGTGGGCTCGTGCATGAAAACCAAGCAAAAACAGCCGCGCTGCGGTTTCCCACCGCACATTTGCGTCTAGAAGTGTCGGCCCTGCCAACGCTGACGCGAATGTTGCCATGCGGCCCAATCACAGCGTCATGCGCTGCCAGGCAGAAGAATATCAGCCAAAGCCTTTAGAAGGGGGTCGAAGATTCCTTGCCAGCGCAGCGCTTTGGGTGCCACGCATATGTCCTCTGCGGGTTCAGGCAGGGGTCTCACGTCAATCATTGACAAGGACCCCACGCCGCCAAGCAGACGGGGTCCCCTCCAATTCCCATTTGTGCACTCCCACTTCCCGTTTCTTGTTCAATTTTCCACACCTCCTGCCGCCTGGCTGGCGAAGCCATGGCGGAATTCAGCGGAACTCATTTCCTCTTGAAGAAAAAATCTAGACTCACTGACGACGGGTGGTATACCTGTGAGCCTCCAGAACCACCAGAGCCACCTAAGCCTCCCGCGCCACCTGCACCCCCTGCTCCTCCCGCTCCTCCTGCTCATCCCGCTCCTCCTGCTCCTCCGAATCCGCCTGCTCCAGATCCCTGTTCCAATCCTGCGTCATCGCGCAATCGGCCTGTGCTCACGCTCTACCCGCCTTCGACGTTTAACGAGTGGTTGTAGCAACCTGATGTGAACAAGGCCCCTGATGTGTACATCGAGCCTCCGGCGCCGGCACCACGCTGGGGCGCGCCTGCAGACTGCACGTGGGACGAGTCGGCCGTGGGCGCCGACGACGATGTGGCCGCCGACAAGCACCGCCGCGGTGGTGAAACGGGCGGCGAGGGAAAAACGGGCGACGAAGCTGGCACAGAGGCCGACGTGTTTCCCGAAGGTGGCGCGGGCCCCGAGGACGACGACGGCGTGGAGTTTTGGGCGTGCGATACCGTCTTATCCGCTGATTAACAAAAAACATCCCCACTCTGCGTCTGAGAATCGTGATTCCCGCCCTCCCTCTCCCATGCACAAGTCATCTCTGCATAAGCGTAACTCCTACACCGCCCAGGAGAAGCTCAAGTGGCTCTGTCAGAATACTAAGCGAGAATGAATGAACTAAAAAGAAGGTGGGTACAAGTACTAACCCTAATTGGGTTGTTCCCCATATGGGCTTCCCCACTGCAGCCTACACAACACACAACATATAAGTTTGACACACCCCCGTAGGCAAAGTGGGGGAGAACAAGAGGTCACAAGACCAGTCAAGAAAAGCAAAGCAAGCTCAGGGTGGATCACGAAGTCACCACACACTCTGAGCACAAGCAAATGGCCACAAGGCCAGTTCACATGCAGAGTTATATAATGGAGAACATGCAGTACAGTGATCGAAACCTAGCAAGTGTAAGCATGCAGGTATATATATATATATATCACAGTACAAGCAAAGTCAAGAAGTGAGCAAGTGAGGCCAAGTAGGCACAAGGCCTAAAACAGTACAGAAACGCTGATGATCACAATGCTGAAGTGCCTTGGTGAAGATATCAGTAGTGTTGGCCCGAGAGGCCACGTAAGCAAGACGAAGCTGACCAAACTACTGCAACTCTCGAGCAAGGAAGTAACGAAGAGCAATGTGCTTCGTTCTGTGCTCCAGTCTGTGCTCCTAACACAAGGCCAGCATGGCCTTGTTGTCTACGTACAGAACTGGAGGAGAACGAGGCGGCTCTCCCAGGTCGGTCAGCAGGTAGGTGAGCCAGCGTAACTCCTGTGCAGCCATGGCCCCTGCGTAGATTTAGCCTCACAACTGGAACTGAGAATAGAAGACGAGCGGGTAGACCGCCAAGAAACAGAGCCAGAGCCAAGGCTGAAAGTGTAACCCTGTGACGACCGCTGTGTAGCCAAGTCGTCAACCCAAGACGCGTCTGCGTGTCCAGTGAGGACAACTCGACCCTGTCCTCCAAGCACGAGCCCCATGCCCGACGTACTGCACAAGTAGCGCAACACCCTCTTAGCGGCCTTCCAGTTCTCTGGTCGGTGTCTCCCTGGCGCAACGTAGCGTGCCAGGATGCTAAGAGGGTAGGCAAGGTCAGGTCGAGTGCAGGTCATCAGGTACATGAGGCGGAGAGTGAGTGATTGGTAGGCAGAGGAGTGGACTGTGGCGAGGAGTACTGGAAGTCGAAGCGCTGAAGGACCTGCTGCACCATGTGTGACTGAGTCAAGGTAATGGTGCGCCGTGCTCTGTCCCGGGTGATCTGCAAGCCAAGATAGCTGCGCAGCTCACCCAGGTCTGTGCACGTGTGTCACTTCTGCAGCTCCGACTTCACTAGGTCCAGTCCCTCAGTGTCAGCAGTGGCAAAGACCAAGTCGTCGATGTACACAATAATGTAGAACGGCGGCAGCGAAGTGTCTGTGCGTAGAAACAGCGACGGGTCAGCAGTCGAAGGAGCAAACCCAAGAGCCGCAAGCGTCGTCCTCAGTGTGTCGTGCCACTCACGAGGCGCCTGGCGGAGACCGTAGACTGGCCGCCGGAGGCTCCACTGGGTACTTGCAGGAAACGACCCAGTGAAGCCAGGTGAGCGGCGCAGCCAGATCTCCTCGTGTAGGCTGCCCTGTAAGAAAGTTGTGCTGAAGTCAAGAGAGTGAAGCTCGTAGTCACGCTGAGCGGCGACGTGCAGCAGTACCCGAAGAGTGGTCATCTTTGGGGTAGGGGAGAAGGTCTGGAAGAAGTCAACTCCCTGTCGCTGACTGAAGCCTCGTGCAACGTAACGAGCCTTGAAGGCAGGCGGAGAATGTCAGAATGTGTAGTTTGTCTAGCCTGCAGTGGGGTACTCTATAGTGAGTACGGCCCCTTAGGGTTTCCTATATGTATCCACCTGCTTGCTAGTGCAACCCCTCCTTTGCCTATTTTCTCTTGCCTAGCTAGCTAAACCCTAGCTATGGCTCCTCGTTCTGCCTACTACTCTGACAACTCTGACATGGTATTAGAGCTGTTACGCTCTTGGCCTGTGGGCCCCACGTGCTTCCGCTGCTTTCCTGTCTGTCGCGCGCCCCGTGGCGCGCGACACTTTTTTTTTCTTCCCGCCACGCGCTCGGGGCGCGTGGCGGTTTTCTGCCCGCCGTGCGCCCCGAGGCGCGTGGCGGCTTTCTGCTCCACGCGTCACCCCGGGGACCCGCGCGTCCCCCCGTCGACGGTCGCGTCGCCCCCCGGGAGCCCGTCGCGTCGCCCCGCAACCCGCGCGCGGCCCTCGCTGCCCCGTCGCGACGCCCTGGGGAGCCGATCGCGGCCCCTCGCTGCCCCGTCGCGGCGCCCTGGGGAGCAGCACGCGGCCCCCACTATCCCGTCACGGCGCCCAGGGGAGCCGCACGCGGCCCCCGCTGCCCCGTCGCGACGCCTTGGGGAGCCGCGTGTCAAATATAGTAGGAGAACGGGCTAGGCTTAGTAGCCTAGGCCACAGTAGGACTACGAAAGGAGGCGCCAAGTACGAGCTAGGATTGTGTGTAGGAACAGAATTGAGAAGGGATGATTCAACTAGCAAGCAGCAGGATACAAATAGCAAACCCTAAGGGGCTGTACTCACTATTGAGTACCCCACTGCAGGCTACACAAACAACATATTCTGACACCGCGCGCGACCCCCCGCTGCCCCGACGCGGCGCCCTGGGGAGCCGCGCGCGGCCCCCGCTGCCCCGTCGCGGCGCCCTGGGGGGCTGCGCGCAGTCCCCCGCGCTGCTGCCCGCGCTCCTGCCCCGTGCTGCCCGTGTTAGGGTTTGGGGGTGGCGAGTGTGGGGGTGGCGGGTATGGGGGTGACGGGTGTGTGCGCCGTCCCCTGCTCCTCCTCCTCCTCCGTCTCCCACTGCTGCAGCTCCCGCTGAGGGGGGTGGGTGTGTGGGAGCTGAAGGCGTGGTGCTAGGGGGATGTCGTGGGAGTGACGCTAGGGGTGCAGCAGGGGGTGTGAACGGTAGTTTTGGGACAAAGGGGGAGGTTGAAGGGGGGTGGCCGCCGTGAAGCCAGCAGCTCCAGTCGCCCGTGAGACCGTTGCGCCAGTCGCCCGTGAGCCTGTCGCTCCAGTCGCCCGTGAGCCCGTTGCTCCAGTCTCCCGAGAGTCAGTTGCTCCTGCCGCTCATCTAGCCGCGGAGCCAGTTACTCCAGTTGCCCGTGTGCCAGTTGCTCCAGTTGCCAGTGTGCCAGTTGCTCCAGTTGCCCATGTGCCAGTTGCTCCAGTTGCGCCGTGTGCCAGCAGCTTCAGCTGCCGCCCACTACCTCCTCTCCTCTCATAGTCCCTCCTCCTCCTCACTAGCCCTCTGTGATAGCCTCTAGCATTGCTTATATTTGTGAACTATGAACTGCTGCTTGTTGTGCTGATCATACCCCACTTTGACTATGGGGGTGTGTCAGAATCTGTAGTTTGACTAGCCTGCAGTGGGGTACTCTATAGTGAGTACGGCCCCTTAGGGTTTCCTATATGTATCCACCTGCTTGCTAGTGCAACCCCTCATTTGCCTATTTTCTCTTGCCTAGCTAGCTAAACCCTAGCTATGGCTCCTCGTTCTGCC